AGCGAAAGTCTCCGAGCTATCATGGGAGCAGGGGGCTTGATCAGTGGAGTATTAGTGCGGCTGGATTAGAACACAAGGGCCATCACTGTCGTCACTGGTAGCGCACGGACTCATCAGCCTGTTCGGGAGACCGTATCGTATCGTGGATTATTTACTGCTGGTTGGTTTGGTGTGAGAGAAAAACACTGTTCCCAGTTAAAAATTTACGATCGTTTACGAGCAAACGAACAGACTGCATGCATGCCGCACCGCGTGACCAAGGCAACGCGGCTTCACCTTCAGCCTCATTGTCAAGAGACGTCTCCATCGAAGCGAGTTGCATCTTGCAGATGTGAAAGTAGCCACGATAATATTTTGTGCTCCTCTGTATTTTTTTTAGTTGTTTTCGACACTGACAACGAGAATGAGATCTTGGAATTTTCTCATTTTGTTCCATAGATTGTGCCTGTGCGGGACCTCAAATTGTCAACAACAGCAGTTCTTTTAACAATCACAGATGGGATTGCTGCAACTCTGGCGTGCCAGTGCCAGTGCCAGTGCCAATGACAAGAGGAAATCGCGCTGTGCTTCATCTTCTAAACTTTAGTCGCTGTCTCATTGGATATTTGACACATGCATGGAGTATTAAATATAGACTATTTACGAAACTAAATACATAGATTGAGACTAATTTACGAGATGGGTTTATTAAGCCTAATTAGTTCATGATTTGATAATGTTGTGCTACAGTAAACATGTGTTAATGATAGATTAATTATGCTTAATAAATTCGTCTCGTGGATTACTGATGACTTCTGTAAAAAAATTTTATTAGTATTCGAACATCCCTATTCGACACTCATGTATCATTCGATGTGACACTTTTTAAACTTTACTCCTGCATCAAACATCCCCTTGCTGCTGCCTGGTGCGTCATCCCCTTACTGCTACCTGGTGCGTCGCCGCACATGGCATCATTCCCAGGACTCCGGCGGTGTGGCAGGCGCAGAAGGCCAGCACGAGCAAGTCGAGGGGCACGACAGCTACGGGGTGGGAGTTTGGGCGAGCAGCGGCGGCGGGAATTTGGGCACGGCCGTCTGGGAAGTGGGAAGAATGCCACAGGTGGTTCGTGTTTTGCGAGCGTACGTGTTCCCGCCTTTGGAACCAAAACTTAGACCACTTTATCTTATTTTGTGGTCTAATGGTCTAATATGTTTTTTTGGTTAGCTAAAGTTTAGGTCTAACCTTAGATCATTTATTTGGAGATATTTCTTAGACCCCGCACAGAGCGGGAGCTTCCTGCACTGGGTACGTCCTTTTTATTAAATTTAAACTTTAGTAGCTCAGTTTTAGATGAGAGATCTAAATAGGGCCTTATTAATCTCTTTCTTTCTTCGTATGGCCACCCTCTAATTAGTTTCTTTTTTTTAAAACTGGGTGAATTTCGTTACTCAGGTGCTAACAGGTCGTTAGCAATAAATACATGAATGAACACTCTCAGGAATAGATTTGCTCCTCTCCCTGATTACATAACATGCATGCCTGATGATGTTTTTTTTCCTTGATTAGTTTTTTTACATGGCAAAAGATAGGACGCAATATATAGCTGCTAGCATTAGCAACGCGCGAACGAACAATAACGGCGCGCAGCAATCCAAGTAGAGCACAGGAGACGGGCAAAAGTTACCTGTTGTTTCGGCCCTGGTCCGTTCGCTTCGCTGAAAAAACAAACGAAACACTGTTCCGGCTGATTTATTGTGAGAGAAAAACATTGTTCTGGCTGAAAAAATAAGCTGAAAAAGACGAATTATAAAAGAAGCAAACAGGACCGAAACAACAGGTAACTTTGACTAAATATATATCCTAGTACAACGTTGTTTAGCAACTACTCCTTTTATCCCTAAATATATATCGTTTTTGTTTTCCGAGAAACAACTTTGACTAAATATATATTAAAAAATACTAATATTTATGGTACATAATTACTGTCATTGGAAAGATTTTTGAATCTAGTTTTGTAATAAATTTATTTAGAAATACAAATGTTGCACTCATTTTCTATAAATCGAGTGAAACTTACGACATGCATATCAACCGCGACAATTATTCAGGGACGGAACTTCTCAATGACAAGATTCCCTCGCAAAAGAAGGTGGATTAGTGTACAAGGGAGATGGGCCATTCTTTCCTTTGTTCTGATAGGCGGAGCGATGTAGTATTTCATAGACAGACAACAATGATGCTTGTACTGGTCACTGGTGCGGAGTGATAGGTGCACTGCCCACTTGTTATTTAGCTGCTGCTGGATGCTGAGGAGGGAGTGAGGAGGGGGGACTTGTAACCCCAAGTCAACGTGTGCTAGCTCATATGAGCAGAGCCGCCTCCACATCTAGCTCGCCCCATCTCCGTTGCCTTGCTCGCCGATCTGCTGCAATACCCACCGGACACCGGAGCCGGAGGTAATGGGCATCATCAAGGCGGCGTCGGATTCCATGTCCATGGCCTGAGCCGAGCTTCTCTGCTGCCACTAGCCATGGCAACGCCAGGTCTGGCTGCGCTCCCTATCTTCACTGCTGCAAAGCGTTGTTATGTTGCAACTTGCGAAGCTGTTCTTGGTCGATTACTGTTTGTTCTGCCCTGTTAGGTGGCATCCCCAGCTCGGTCATGTATCCCAAACCCAAATGTTATAGTAGCTTTCTTAAAAGCTGAGATTTATCTCCTTCGATTTCTTTTTTGCAAAGCTGCTAGTTTCACTTCTGCCCCTTTTGCTAACCTTGTTTTTTTTTAGTCCTTCAACCTGTTCGCTGGTTGGTTTCTAAGCTGATAAGTCCGATGGGTGCTGGTGTATTGTGAGAGAAAAACACTGTTGGCTGGCTAATAAGCCCTGGCTTAAACCAATAAGCGAACAGTCTGCTCAGCTAGAGCCACTTCTGCCTCAGATCTGAATCCTCGCTAGAAAAGTTGTGTAGACTTTGTAGCCTTTCTCCTGCTACCTGCATACATTTGTCTTGGTTTATTTGGTGATAATTTGGCCTTCTACGGTTCTACTTGTACCTCGTCTCGCTTAATTTGTTGCGTCTACCGATGAAACCACTGGGATCTGGAGTGGGTTTCACCGTTTGAGTGAATACGAATTTCCGTATTGTTTTGAGACACAATAGGAATTTCCATACTGATACGTAAAGCTTGAGCTTGGGCCAAACATGGCCTAGGAAAAACCCTGTTTGTCGGCCCGAAGGGGTCGCCTGGGTCTGTTCGGCAGGGCTGAAAAATAAGTCAAAATATTATTCTGGCTAATTATTGTGAGAGAAAAATAATGTTCTGTCTGAAAACACTGTTCACATGAACAGTGCCAAAGTGAGTGCGTTGGCCAGCCCAGCCCCAGCCGACCAGCCAGCCGAACGCCTACCTAGTGAAGCTTTTTGGCCCAATAAATGTGACACCAGGCTTAGGCTGGGCTGGACTAGGTGGGCTACCCGTCCAACATTATCTCTTTAGCTTTTGTGAAAGTCTGTTTTTCCTTCCAAACTTCAAAACCGGACAAAACATCTCCTCAACTTTTAAAACCGTTCATCTTACCCCTCTGGCCCTGTTATAAGCGGTTTTGAAGACGGTTTTGTCTTTTTCTTTTTTATTTATTTCGGCTAAATCTTTGAAAAATCATAGTAAATCACAGAAAAATCATAAAATAGAAAATCTAATTTTCTTGGACTCCACATGAGTAGATCTACACAATGAACAAATAATATGGTATGCTTTAGTACAAAGTTTTTGCTATGGCTTTAGATCTATATTTTTATGTAATTAAATGAAATAATTCATAACTGCAGTTTATATGGTCTAATTATGATGATTTTTTTATAGTGGGCTAATTATTATATGCTTAAATTATAGTAAAATTTTCATACTGAATGAATCAAGAAGCCACACGTACATTGTCGTTAGCCCGTTGAACGAGGTTGGCAGGATAACCAGTCAGCGAGACAGCGAAGTGCCTGGGTATTAAATCAAGAAGCCACACGTACATTATCGTTAGCCCGTTGAACGAGGTTGGCAGGATAACCAGTCAGCGAGACAGCGAAGTGCCTGGGTATTAAATCAAGAAGCCACACGTACATTGTCGTTATTAACCAGGTCAGCGAGACGGCGAAGTGCCTGGGTAAATCAAGAAGCTACACGTACATTGTCGTTAGCCCGTTGAACGAGGCTGGCAGGATAACCAGGTCAGCGAGACAGCGAAGTGCCTGGGTAAATTCCGCTGCCAAAATATGGTCCACGAGTCCTAGTCAAAGTCGTCAAAAGGGAAACTGATCTCCCAGAGATCTAGAAGCTTTGCCTTCTCGATCGATTCAATCAGTTGTTCAACAGAAACGCGCTCTCAAGTTTCATGCCGGATGGGCGGATGCCGGGGCCGGGGATGGCTATTAGGCTGTTTGTTTGGTTGGGCTTTTCGCTTTTGGCTTTTGGTCTTCAAAAAGCCCAATCAAATGAGTTGTTTTTGTAGGGTGTTTTTTTTAGAAGCAGCTGTTTTTCCGTAGTTTAATTTTGAAAGCTGGTTTAACCCTGCTTTTGGCTTTTGGCTTTCTGCTTTTCGAAATTGATGGAATAAAAAGCTCTTCCATAGTTGTTTTAAGAGATATAAAGATAAAAGGTATATTTTATACTTGTTTAACCAAATAGCTTTCAGTTTTTCTACAGCTCACAGCCCACAGCAACTTTTCTACAGCCCACAGCAGCTTTCTCCCACAGGCACAACTCAACCAAACAGGGCCTAATAGAGAGGTTGCTTCACTAGCTCGGTTGGATATACGAGAGAGACTGCATACCAGTTCTTCGTGGAGACAGTCCTCAGGCCACGCAGCGGGCACTACCGTCATTCTTCTCTCTTCTCCTCCTGGCAAGCAGCTTTTGCAAATTTGCATTGCGTTGCGCCCTACAAGCTCCTCTCTCCTCCAACGAGCAAGCCGCCCTTCCCCGGTTCCCCCTCCCTCCACGCCTCACATCCTCCCCAACCGAACACCATGGTGAGCGTTTTCGCCGCCTTCGGCTTCGCCGACCTGTGTCTGGCCTTCGCCGCCCTCGACCTCTTCACCTTCCTTGACTCGCAGTGCGGTGCGGGCACCACGACATCCGATCAGGCCCCACTGCTCGACAGCGCGGCCGAGCTTTTGCCGCCGTTGGCTGCGGTGGTGGTCCTCTTCGTCGCCGTCGCGCTCATCTACCACCACCTGATGGGTCGCCGCGTCGTCGCCGTCCCCGTGGCCGGCGCGGGCAACGGGCGGCGCTCGATCTCGGCGCTTGTCATGTTCGTGCTGTGCGTCTCCGCGGGCACGCTCGAGTTCATCGTGTTCGGGCACGGGCAGGCCGCCGGTGGTGGTGGTGCGGGCCACGGCGCGCTCGGCCTGGCTGCTCTCCGCGCGCTGCCTGCCGCGGCGACGGCCACGTTCTTTCTCGGGATGATGCTCATCATCGTCTCGCACATCCGCGCCGGCCGTGAGGGCGGCGGCGGTACCGTCTCCGGAGACGAGCCGATCCAGGGGCCACTGCGCCCACTCGCCAAGGTCGCAGCCGGAGCGGCGGCGGCGCTCGTCGTCTTAATGGCCATGGCCCTCGCTCTCCACGGAGCCAAGTAAGTTCCCCACAAACTCCACCTGCCGCCGACCTACCTCACCCTTCCCGGCTGCCCCGCCGGCCCGCCGTGCGCCCGCGCATCCACCCTCCGCCCCCGCACGGTACCGCAGCCCCGCCTCCCTTTCCCCTTGCCGCCTCGGTGTTCCGTGTGCCCGTGCCTCTTCTCCGGCGTCCCCGGCTCCCCGTTTGCCCTTAACCCCCAAACCCCTCTTGCTTTGCTTTGGTGGTGGTGATGGTGGTGGTGCGGTGGTGCCTGCTGGGAGGAGTCAATTATCCATTGGAGCGTGCCGCAGGGCGCAGCATTGCCGGCTGCTTGCCACCATTTGCTTTGCTTCCGCGTGCTGCTTCGGTGCTTCCTCGAGTTGAACCTTTTAATTTCCCCTAGAACAGATGGATGGTTAATGATCATCCAATCACAACCCTTTCATTATACATTTATACAATCATCTTTACAATTTACTCGTATCGTTTACCTTTTGCGGTGTTCAAGATTGGTGGTTGCATATACAGATGATTAAACATAAAATTAATGTGGGCAATCTTGTGTCTTCAGGTACTAAAATTAAAGCATGGAAGTAGAGGTGCTGTCTGGTTACATCCATTGGTATTGACAACGGCCTACCACAGCAGATTTCAACTACATCTCCATAAATAAATTTTTGTATGTGTAATTCAGATGGATCATGTACTACAATATGGTTGTTGTGGTTACTTGTGACTGCGGGTGGAGTCAGCTGCGATACTGTTTCGAGCTTGTGTGTCTATTATGGTCGAAACTTGCGTATGCATTTGTCACCATTTCGTACTATCAGACATATATATGGGAATGTGTGGTTGAGTAATATGGTACAATCTTCTGTGTTGCCGAATGTACCTGATGATTGCTAATTTTACCGATTTGATTTGGGATTCTTGTATTGGTGCACTGGCATATGCAAATATGCAATAAATGCATGTGTTGCCTTTTGCCTAGGAATGGACCATTTCTTTCCATATATATACAGGTTGAGAACTTGAGACTTGGCAGCTGAGCTTGAAGAGTTTGCTGAGAGAGGAGTTGGTGCAGGTTATGCCTCTATAAAATTGCAGATTACATCTATTTGGTATTTCAGTTGGCTCAGTATTTTGGGGGCTTGTTGGAGTACTAATTCCAGTTTGGTGGTTCCTATTAGTACCTTCTGTTATATGCTTCTGTAAAACTTCTCCTGGCTTCTGTTCAAGCTATGGGGGTTACTACACATGCACTTTGCTCTAAAAAGATCTGAATGAGTGTTAACAATTTCTCTGAATTTCTTCTATTGTGTGTGCAGGTAACAATCATGGCCTAAGCATATTCTGTCAGCTATGGAGTACATCTTAAGCATATCATCACTGCCCAAAGATAAGATATAATGCTGTAAGTTTTGCCTCTAAACCTGTCAAATAGTAAGACTCTGATTTATCACTTAAGGTGTCTTTTCAGACTTGTTAATGATGACTTCACTTGAGACTTGAGATGTGGCAATATATAGCCACAAACCAAATATGCCCTAGTCACACCTAGTGTCATGCTTGCTATAAAACTTGTTTAGCCCATTGCAATCTGGTTGTGATCTTGTGGCAAGTTCTCGTTGATCATGCTAATTTTTGAGATTAGTGATATATAAGCCATGAGCTTTTAGATTTCTGGAGGATCCTCTCTTTGTTTTGCTCATAATGGTAAATTTATTAGGTTCTTTTGAGTTTTCTTTTCCTTTTCTATACTTGTAGTAATAGCAAAGATGGTTTTTTGTTTACCATTGTCATGTCCATGACTCCAGGTAGTGGCCAACACATAAGCATATTCGTTCTCAACTCCATCTTCATCATTTCACAGTCTGGAAAACAAGACATGATTATGTATTTGCCTCCAAACCTGACTACAGTAAGAAAGACCATGATTGACTACTTATACTTCCTTTTCAGAGTTTTGAGAAGTTAGTCGCATACTCGCATACGGTCCATCTTTGCTTGGTATCTAAACCTTATTTAATCATAATCGAAATATGATCGTGTGGCTAGCTAGTAGCTACTTCTTGTTAATTATGATATTTTGTTCATCTAATAATAATAAGAAATGTTCTTTTGTAAGATTGGTAGTATGAATTGAATTGTGAGGTTATGCATACTCTACTGATTATTCTGTTGATGTCTTATCCGTCCACCATGCATGGAACTGTTGGCCGTGTACATTGAACATTTGGACTGCTTACATTGCTAGTATTTGATCCTGGGGTATGAATATATAATAGGTCATGTTTGTCATGAACTGTATGATTTGGCAACAAAACCTTGAAAGTACCTGACGCACATGCACATATTTGGACTGATGGACTCCGGTCTCCAGTCAATGTACTTGGATTCTCCTTTTCCAGTATGAACTGCTGACTTTCTGGCTAACAAATATGTGCAGGACCAGTCCAGCGCCAACATCACGCAACCTCAAAACGAAGCAACACGCACACGAACTGGCGGCGAGAACGCCGAGAAGCCGTGCGCCGGCCGTAGTACGCGCCGCGTGCTACACGCCTACACTCAGTTCGTGTTGTGCCAATACAGAAGACAGAGTACACCCTAACAAATTATAGAAGTCGGGAATAGAGTATGACCCTAAAAAATTATAGAAGTATTTTTTTTAAAAAAAATATCTAAATATTTTTTCTAGAATAAATATGCATTAAAAAAACTAAAATCTGATTTATTATCATAAATTTTGTTATAACTTAGAAAAATATGAAACCGGTTTAATATTTTTCCTAAAACCATGTTATACCTTTTTGTTCCTTTATTAGAATTATTTGAATCTTATATGGTCTCCTAAAATTTGAAAGTAGGACAAATACGAAATGAAGGATACGGACCAAGATAAATTATTGCAGACCACAGCTAGGATCAGCTAGGATCGCTGTGCAACCCGCCATGCAAACTAAAAAAAAAATCCTCGGCGGCAATGTCTTTCTTAGCCATCAAAACATGCATGGGAAAATCCAAATAAAACATATAATTCGAACTCTGATTGCATATTAGTAGAATGTATGATGTGGTTTAAATGTGTAGCAACAGTGTCTTCTTAAAGGGACATCGCAAAAATGACGTGTGTAGACTCATTGGACCATCAACAGCAGTCGGCATGTGACTTATTAGCCTCCCAAACTGACTTTTGTGACCTGACCAACAACATCCGAATGGACACAACCACTTCCTTTTTTGTCGTAACTGTTATAGGTTTGCACATGCACCGATAGCACACTATTCAGCAGGGAGGCAATTTGGACAGGTTCAAGATGTCGGACTTCACGTTTTTCTAAAATCATGATCTAGATTATGGTGTCTAGCTCAGAAAAATATAAAACATGATTTTAGAAAAAAATTGAAATTGGTTTCATATTTTCTAGGTTGAAATAACTTTTCTATGATTTTTCTCATATTAAATCAAAATTTAATATTTTTAAATAAATATTTGTTCTAAAAATTATTTGATTTTTTCAAAACTTTATTTATACAAATTTTAGGAGCATAATTTCAGGAAAAATATGAAACACATTTTATATTTTTCTGAGTTAAAACAATTTTCATAATGTCAAATTGGATTTTAGTTTTTTTGAATGCATATTTATTCTAGGGAAAATATTTGGATATTTTGTTGAAAAAATATTTTACAGAATTTTTTTAAAGTTTAATTAACCTTCCTGAACTATCGCGAAAGTCCGATTTTACCTCCCTTGTGGTTGACTTGGCGCTACGTCAACAAAAAAGCACTCTTAAAACCACTTAGGTAGGTAAATTAAATGGTTTCAATAGTTGGAGGAGTCTAAAAAATCGATTTTTCTAAATGAGGGAGGTAAATCAAACATATGGAATAGTTGAGGCATGTTAAAAGAGACCTTTTTCCCCTTTTAGTGGCTGATTAAACTTTTAGGCCCATTCGAATGAAGCCGAGACAGACCATGTTTTGGGCTTTTTTAATTCCTTTTCTCAACTTTCACTTTTTTTGCAATAATAAATTTCTTCATTCCGTTCTGTCCACTAAGGCTAGTACTTGTTACTTCTTTCTAGGGCATCGTTTAGCTCTTAGTGGTACTGGTTTTTACATTACTAGTACGTGTTTGTAATTCGAAAATTTTAAGTTATTATCGATGTTTAGCTGTTGGAACTGTAGTAGTTAGTTACATTTGTGTACACTAGCGTGTGTCATCTGATGAATAGAATGACGTTGTTCACTTGAGCTACTTTTCAGTCATAAAACAATATTTTCCTCTCACAACATTTCAACATAAACATCAGCATAAGCTAAATTTCAGCATAAGCGAACACGGAAAATATTTATATTCGGACAACTGTTAGACTTTGGATGGCTAGGATCTTCCACATTCTCCAAGAGCTCATCAGAATTCCTCCGATCATCAAGATTGGGTAGCCAGCTGCAGCTACAAAGTAAATTTCAAGCGTCACTTGACCAAGACCAAGCCTAAACTATAGCTAGATGCGCAATTGTTACTCTCCTCACACTAATCACGCCCTTAATAAAACTTTGCAAATCACTTTACGTGCTACAGGTCCAAAACTAGTTGTTTTTTCTGCGACCCTATCCATCCAAAGTCTAAACAAGTGGAATTGTTATGCGGCCAAGTTTTTTTTTCCTTTTTTTTTTGAGAATCGGCCGGGTAAGTTTTCTAGGGCCCAAAACGCACAATAAAAAGGCCACTGTTGCCTGGTGGTAACCCCTGCGGCCCTGTAGATCCGGTATGAGCGCTAGCGGTTGGACGCAACAATGAACCGATGGGTCAAAAAGAACTCCCAACACCAGCAGGGCCAGGCAACAAAGCCCAAACTTGCGTCATCCATATCTGTCCGCCCATCTCAAATGAACGGCTCAGATCCTCCACAAACACCGAAACCCTAGCCCCAGCTCGCCCGCCTCTGCTATAAGTACCTCCCCTCTCTCTCCTCACCAAAACCCTTGCCCTACTCCTCGCGCCGCCGCCACCACTGCCCCAGCGCCCAGCCGAAGCCACCGCCGCCGGAAAAGAGGAGGGAGCCAGCACCAGCCGCCATGGGTCGCGTCCGCACCAAGACCGTGAAGAAGACCTCCAGGCAGGTGATCGAGAAGTACTACTCCCGCATGACCCTCGATTTCCACACAAACAAGAAGGTGCTGGAGGAGGTCTCCATCCTGCCGTCGAAGCGCCTCCGTAACAAGGTGGCGGGGTTCACCACCCACCTGATGCGGCGCATCCAGCGCGGCCCCGTCCGCGGCATCTCGCTCAAGCTGCAGGAGGAGGAGCGCGAGCGCCGCATGGACTTCGTTCCGGAGAAGTCGGCGCTCGAGGTCGAGGAGATCCGCGTCGACAAGGAGACCATGGAGATGCTCGCGGCCCTCGGCATGGCCGACCTCCCCGGCGTCGAGCGCCAGCAAGAGGTCTCCAACGCCCCCGCCTTCGGCCGCCCGCAGTACGGTGGTCCCCGCCGTGACCGCGTCTAGGCTTCCCGCTGATCGCCGTGGTTGCCTCTTGATCGCACTGCAATTCGTACTATGTCAAACTTCTTTTAGATCTTTTGTTGCTTCTGTGGCGGTTAAGTTTTGAACTTGTCTGTTCTGCTATAAATTCTGAAGTGTCGGTCTGCGTGTGATGGACATGATATTTATATTCTCGCGCCAATGAAGTCTTAAGATATTTTAGATGTTCCTACCTTTTTTGTTTGACATGCTTGTTATCTTGAATGTGTGCATGTGACAGGGATTTGTGATTTGTGTCTTGTATCTAAATTGCATGTTTATAAATCTATATTTAATTTGGTGTTGCTGTTAGGTTCATTGTGTCCTATGCAGATTAAATTTGTTTGGATTCCATTCCTTTAATTTGCTATACAATTCAATGCTGCCTAGGTGTGTGGCTTTTAGCTAGGGCCACTGTGATCTGGGTCGATGAAGTTTTATCAATCCGATGAGATTTAGCTACACATTTTCAATTCAATTAGTGCATTTTTAGTGTACTGAATTGGCCATATTTGTTTGCCTCTATTGAACACTAACTTTACTTGGATCTGGGTTTACTTTCTAGTATTACAATAACCTCAGATTAAATTATGTTTTTGTTATAGCATAGCATTTTCACTTTCATATTTGCCATACACTTGTCCTCCATGTCATCAGCACTGTGTGGTATTTTCATTTCTTTGTTTCTATAGGAAACTTAGCTTGCTTTAATCCAGTCGTTTAATTTTGTTTCATTGAAGTAGTTGTTTAAAATTACTTGGTTTTAAACTCATCGTTAAAGGCTGAAATCTTTCTATGATAGAAGTAAATAGTGATCTGTTGTTTGAAGTATTGTCAGTGGAATTTTTATTACTGTATTGATATGAGAATTTGTTAATATAACAACACTAAGCCTCGTGACTATTGGTGATGTTTTTGTAGAATGTTGCTTCTGTTTTATGAATATTGTTCAACTTGTTGCTTTAAATCCATAAATGTAATTTTGTCCACCTGTTTTCTTTGATCACTGAAATTTTAGTGTGCTGGTGCTGTATTTTGGACCTGCTTCCAGATTTTTGTGAACCTCAGCATGATTAGTTTCACAAGACATGCTTGTGAAATTACCTGCTCTGTATTTTGGACCTGCTTCTAGGTTTTTGTGAATCTCAGCATGATTAGTTTCACAAGACATGCTTGTGAAATTACCTGCTGCCTTTATTTCTTTTGGTCAGTAGATGTTGAATATGGCAACTAGGGCCTGCTTGTTTTGTACTGCTGGAACTACAATTACACCTCCACCTTAGATTTAATGGAGCTATCGCCCATTTTTATATCAGCAAGCCTCATATGTTGTCCAGCAAGCAAAGAGGTGCTCCTCTTATTCTTTTTTAGTTTCTATGTCACCGTTTATTTTTTGGGTGCAGAGTAGGTGTTTATTTTTGGGGGTGCACAGTAGGTGTTTGTTTTTGGGGGGCCAAAAAAGATGGAAGAGCCGTGTGAGGTTGTAGGAATTACGGAATTAATAATAACACAACTTGATTAGCATCAGAAAACATTTGCTTTCGTCAAGCTTGTTTTGTGTATGGTTCATATTGTTTCCCTCGAACATGTACGGATCTGTGGTTTAAACTTTTTTAGAGGGTTGCTTCTGTTGTGATTGAGCATTTAACTTACCAGGTATGCTAAAATTTGAAATGCTTTGGTCTGTGATGGACATATGTCTGTATTCTTGGGCCAATGAATTCTCATTTGCTTTTGATAACTTATTAGTACGTATTCTTGGGCCAATGAATTCTCACTTGTTTTGATAACTTAGTATGAGATGTTGCCACTTACTAATTCATTCATGTGTATTATTCTGACTTGAAATGTGAAAGGTATCGTTATTGTTGACGGCTGAAATGTGGTGTAACGGGTGTTCTGCACTGTTAACGTGTTAAACAGTGAATGTAAATGAACAAGATTTTGGGAACAACCTTTCATGGATCTGTAAAGGGGATTATATACGTTTGAGGGGGTGTCTCCAAGAGACAACCGTTCACCAAAGGACAGGCCCCTTGTGACGGGATTAACTGCTATGCTAATCTTAACTGCACATCTAATTGCATGAGATCACCCATGAATAGGTGTCTGTTGGCGATCACCGTTTCGTAACACTCTCCCTTATCGAATCTTCTTTGAGATCCATGAAGTTGTATGCTTGAATTTCTCGAAAAACCCTATGGTAAAAATCTGAGGAATATGTATCTATAGATATGCTATAAAAACTTCTTTAAACCTTATAGAAAAATAAGCAGAAAGTAGCATATACGAGTGATTTAAATAAATTATTATGTCATTGGTATCCTATTAAAAACTCCAATGGGGGAAAAAAAATATAGGAGATACGACATATAGAGTACTTCCTCAAAAATCATTTCAGAAAAAATATGAGAAGCAATATAAAGTGATATGTCGTTAAAACTTTTGTACAAACCCAGTGGAAAAATTAGGAGAAAATATGACGACATATTATTGGTATTGCCTCTTGGATAACTCACATGAAAAACCTTTTCAGAGAAAAATCATGTATGAGTTGTGAGGGCAATATGTGTATTTGATATTTCCCACAAAAACCCTGGTGGGGAAAATAGAAAATATGACACATGCTTATGTAAATATTACCTCATTAAAAACTTTAACAAGAAACTTTATAAGTAAAACTTGTGAAAGAAAAGAGTATAATATGATGCTGGTACAGGTCAATATTTAGGAGATGTCTCCCTCTGATTCTGGCAAATCTCGAAGTCGCCGCATACCAATTTCATGTACCCATTTTTGAAACACAGAAGTTGGTAAGGACTTAGTAAATAGGTCAGCGAGATTATCACATTACTTGATTTGCAAGATGTTTATTTCCTTGTTTTCTTGTAATTTATGGGGATAAAACAATTTAGGAACAATATGCTTAGTAATATTGCTCTTTATGTAACCTGATTGCATCTGTGTAACATAAGTGGAATTATCTTCATAGGTAATTGTAGGTGATTCAATTGAACCAATACCATATGACTGTTGTATGTGGTTAATCATTCTGCGAAGCTATACACATTCTCGTGATGCCTCGTATAGAGCAATAATTTTAGAATGATTAGTAGAGGTCGCTGTTAGAGTCTGCTTAGAAGACTTCTATGAAATAGTTGTACCTCCATATAGGAATACAAATCCTGTTTGGATTTTCCGTTATGAGGATCAGATAAGTAACCTGCATCAGTATAACAAATCATACTGGGATCATGTTTTTTCTTAAAGAATAAACCAAGATCCTTTGTGCCATTAAGGTATCTGAGGATACACTTCGCTCCCGTCCAATGACGGCGAGTTGGGTCCACACTATGCCTAGTTAGTAAGTTCACTGCAAATACGATATCAGGCCTGGTGTAATTTATAAGATACATAAGTGCGCCAATGACACTGAGATATGGGATCTCTGGTCCCAACATCTTTTCTCCAATATCCCGTGGTCTAAATGGATCTTTCGTGGTCTAAATGGATCTTTCCCTATTTCTAAGGAACGAACAACCATCGGAGTTTTATTAGGGTATGATTTATCCATATTGAATTTCTCCAATATTTTCTGGATATAGGCTGATTGATGCACTAAAATCCCTGAAGGACGGTGCTCAAGTTGTAAGCTTAGGCAATACTTGGTTTTACCCAAATCCTTCATCTCGAATTCTGTCTTTAGATGTTTGCATGCTTCATCTATATCCTTTGGGCTGCCAATGATATTTAAATCATCAATATACACAGATATAATACAAAATCCCGTTCAAGATTTCTTAACGAAAACACATGGGCAATCATCATTGTTAGAGTATCCTTTCTTTAGAAGGAATTTCCTCAGTCGGTTGTACCACATTCGTCCCAACTGCTTCAAGCCATATAATGACTTTTGTAGTTTTACACAATACATGTTGCGATTTGTGTTTGGATTCAGAATTTGGATTTCATCGGGAACCTTCATGTATATGTCCGAATCAAGTGACCCATATAGGTATGCTGTCACCACATCCATCAACTGCATAGATAGATGATTTTGAACTGCCAATGATATTAAGTATCGGAAAATAATTCCACTCATTACTGGAGAATAGGTTTCATTGTAATCTATGCCGGGTCTCTGCGTGAACTCTTGTGCTACTAGCCTCGCTTTATATCTCACCACCTCATTGTTCTCATTCCGTTTCTAGCCGAAAACCCATTTAAAGCCTACAGGAAAGACTTTGGAAGGTGTAGGTATTGTAGATGTGAATACCCCTCTTCTAGTGAGCGAAGCTATCTCAGCTTGAATTGCTTCTTTCCATTGAGCACAGTCCGAGCGCTTTATGCACTCTGCCATGGTCTTGGGATCTGGATCATTGAGAAAGATTTCTACAATTGCTGCGGAGAAGTACATGTCGACAACAGTAGTCTTATGATCGTATGATTCTCCAGAATCTATGTAATTGATGGAAATTTCTTTCACCCCATTATTTGACTCAACATTTTCCAAAACTATGGAGTTAGGGTGTTCCGATATCCTAGGATCAGAATTTAGATGCACCGTTGATCCGGGTTGTGGATTTGGTCTTGATAGTGGATTTTTATCCATTATTAGGTGTCTACCAATTTGAGGCTGGCTTAGATTTACTGATTTGGTGGATCTAGACTTGATATCCTCGGACGCTTACTTGTAGCATTATCCTTAGGAGCGACCGTACTTCTCCTCCTCTTCTTTGGAAGTGGGAGTTGAATGGTTTTTATTGGTGCATCCACTCTTTCGGACGCATTGCAAGCAGGATAAGAGGATTTAGTGACACCCTTATAATTAGTAAATGCTTCTGGCAGTTTATTTACAATATGTTGCAAGTTTATGATTTTTTGAACTTATTGTTCAGTCTCTAGAGTACGTGGATCTGAGGGGGGAATGCCTTGGGCATTCCAGATGATTTTCTGACATTCGTTTTGGTACTTGAAATCTCCCC